CTAGACAAAAGTGGATGGATAACGAGAAACATTAAAAATGGAAAATCTATAAGTAAGGACGATATAAGGCCAGAATGCTATACAGCAGAAGAAAAATCCTATCCAGTGCAACTCCCAAACGCTTCATAGAACATACGTCAGGCAAACCAGTACGCCTAAAGTATGGAAGAAGCATGAAAGTACGAAAATAAAGTTCTAAAGAACTACATACCAAACATTATACAAATCTACTGTTTTCACCAGCATAATCAGTCAGACAGTCTCGATGACTGCTTGTCTTTTCAAGTTACGGAGCAAAATGCCGCGGGGGGGGTCTCCACCATTCCTAACACTTATTACAGGTCATTTTTCGCCACCACCAGGGACTTGCGCAGGCAAGTAGTAGCCATTTCACTTCTTATTCTGGAAGCATTCAAAAGACGTTCCAAAACAACCACACCTGTGACTTCTCAATCTGGAGAATCCTCTTAACACCAAGACCGCCTCGAGCATCTGAACAACGGAATCAGTCGCACGCATCAACCAAACCATTCATCTCAAAAAACCCATTTCAGCCGCTTTTACCCATGATCGAAGGCTTTTAGTCATGATCCAAGTAGGTGAGCATGGGGAAGAAAATCTGAACAGTGAGAGCTTAGTATTCGAGCGCTCCCTGCTTTAATCATAACGGCTCGGGCTAGTTCATGCAGAGCGCCACGGGTTATTCCAATCCGCTGGTCGATCACTTCCTCAAATTTTCCATCACTAGTAAATATAGTTCCGAGGTACTTGAACTTCTCCACCTGCTCCACTGCCTCTTCGTTAAAGAGCAACGGGCAGGAGAACGTGAAAGCACTAGGCTTTTCGTTTTAGATGCGTTCACACGCAAACCGGTCACGCCGCACTCGGCTGCGAACCTTTCTAAGGAGCAATGGAGATCAGTTTCAGAAGATGCTAATAAAACAAGGTCATCTGAACACCGCAACCTTCTCGACTTCACATCTTCTACACCGATACACTCATCGCCTTGGCAGCTCCTGACTATTCTATCCATGGAAAACACAAACAGGATAGGGGACAGGACGCCGCCTTGGCAGAGACCAGTGCGAACACTGAATGGTTTCGATTTAACGCGATTTACTCTGCCGCTGCTCCTGCTATCAGAATACAGTAATTGGATGGCCCGCAACATTTGTCCTTCGATCCCATATGCTCGCAGGCATGTCTACAGACTGTTGCGCTGAGTCCGGTCATAGGCTTTCAATAGGTCAACAAAGCACATGAACACAGGATGGGCGAACTCCCACAGTTTCTCAGCAGTTTGGCGTAAGATGAATCTGGGCAGAGGTGTTTCCGACAGATTTGAAGCTACATTGCGCTTCTTGTGTCTTACAGTCGGTTATTTCAGGGCATTTTTGCGTAGACTTTTCCCGGCAGGATCAACATAGTAATGCTCCGATAACTGAAGCATTCATTATGGCTTACTGTTTGAAAACAGTATCTCTTATCCCGTTGCCATTGTTGTTGACTCCCTCAAAGATCACGTTGCGAGCGTACAAATTCAATAGCGTACTGGATTAACAGACGTGATTTCTGCCACGTACAATTCCAAGAGAAGAACTGTCAGTCATGTGGCTCGCCTTAGACAAAATCGGTGGACATGAAATATTACAACTGGTTTCTGCCGGATTACCGACGTCGAGTAGGTCGTGCGGGAACAAACTGGGGCGACGCGATGGCCTAATAACTTGGTCAGCGGTAGAGGCATGAAAAGAAAATTAGAGAATGTCAGGAGAACATGGACTTGCGTCAATGGCGCACCCATAACGACCAAAAATCGCATACGGATAATGTTTGCAAATATCTATAAAGTATATCTACAGAACGACAAATGACCTAACATATGAGCAAGGCGAAAACTTACGTAGTGAGCCAAAAACAGTTTGCCCGTTTTTAGAAATTCCGTGGATTTTGCTAGGCAGAACTTTTCTAACGGAAGTGACTTTCCTGCGATACGCATCTTGAGAGACGAAACTTGCCTGTAAAACAGATTCAAGGAAAAAATACATAAACATACGCAAGAAGTTGCTTTAATGTATCATTCCTTAAGTAGCAATACCAAATTGTAATAAACATTAAACTCAATTCAAGTACGGATAGAAGGAACAGGACACGTATCTCGAAGGTCAAGTCCCCCCTCCCCCATATTTACTGAGTGATGATTGTTGCTATGCTACCGGCTGCAGTAATTTACAATTGCAATTAATTTCGCGCTTTAACTTCGTTTAACTCTTGGAACTGTGAATGAACAAGACAGTCCAGCAATCACGTCTAATTTGTACACAAAAACCCAATATTCTTGGGTGGCTGTCATGCTGCAGCTTTGCAATTTTGCCGGCAATGAACAATTCAATTCCGCAGATTCACTACATGTAAGCGCATTACTCGTCCTATCGGGACGATTGAGCAGGATATCTTCACTGAATTTCAACACCAACAACGAATCAAATACATTGATGCCATGGAGGCGTGCCTGGTTTAAATGTCTCCCTAAGCGATTCGTTATCAAAAACTGAAGTACATATTTTGTTTCTCCTGTTAACTATATTGACTGCTTACACTGACTGATTTTTGAGTACTGAAAATCTGGTGTATTCCCCTAGGGTACAAAGAAAACTAGCCCCTCCACTATGTTGTAGATACTAGTCCTTCTTAGCCTTTGAAGATAGACTATATTACAGCTGTGTCAACGTAACTGTTGCATCGGTAGGTAGGTAGTAATTCTTCATATTTCTAAACTTTCAACCCATCAGTTACGCAGTTTTATCGTTACTTTACAACATGAACAAAATCAGCATATGCATCTGAATGGATAGCAACAAAAAACTGATCCATAATAAGTTAACAAACGTCTTTTCTATCTATGGCCTTTCAGACAATAAAATTCAGGTTAATCAGGCTAAAGATGGGGCGAATGTATTCAATCAGACTTTGATGCGTTTGCATAGCCTCTTCCTGGCGAATTTTCTCTTGTTTTCTATTCTTTCTCCGCATTTCTTCTGTTCCATTCATTTACTATTTTTATTATTATTTTCATTGTTCAAACTTTCTACTGTGTCTTCAACAGTCATACAAGTCACCATGGATCGCATCATTTTGCCTTTGATCTTTAGTTTTCCCTTTATCTGGTACTATCAGGTTTTTGACCATCTGTTTACTCGGTATTTTAGTTCTCTCGTATACGACTAAGCGTAGAGTAGTAGACTTGTTTCTTTCATTAGGACTATTTCATATGAACATGTTTGGACTATAGTTCTTCTGGTAAGAGTACGTCAAACGTTGAGGAGGAGCTGTGGTCGATAAAGATTATGATCTTTGTTCCTAATATCAATTTGAGAAACTGTTTCTAAAGATCATACATAAATGGGTAGAGCAGCCAGCCTCAGATAACGACAAAAAACAAAAATGTGACCATTTGCATTTTCATTAAACTCATATATTGGCTGCGCATTCTCAGCGTGATTAAAATTCCGCTTCGGCAAGAGACAAGTCATTACCATATAATAAATCCTCCTTTAAGCCAAGTGGACATTTCGCTATCACAAAACATAGAGCTTACCTTTCGCATTTGAAGTGTTCCAAGTTGGTGTTCGAATGTGCTTCAGTTGGAGTCAAAAGTGATGCGATATCACATCCACTCACTGTACGTGGTATAATGCTATGGAGAGGTGGACTGCTTAAAGGATAACCGAAGCTGTTAGAAGAAAGGAGAAAGGCAGGCTTACGCCGAATTCCAAGGCAACGCGTATATAGAAACTCAAACAGCTGTGCAAGCGCATTTCATATGGGTAATCTTCAACCTCAAAGTACCATAAACGGTTTCTGTTATGACTGTTTAAAGTTAGTGAAGTCTGAAGAGCAAACATGTCCAGATTTGTGAAGTCTGCCTGTTCAGCGACAGACGGCTTCGCCTCATCAGTGTAAAATTTCTGCAGGTCTGATCAATCTTTTCGTTCATGAAACTCGACCCGCCAGGTGAATCTAAGCCGTTGATCTCTCAAATGACGGATTAGGGAAATGGGGAATCCATGGGAAAATCCAGGCACAGTCGAGCATCGCGACAAACGGAGCAGGAGACAACAGCAATATTCAGTAGTTATTAGAAACAGATTGCTAGCAGCCGGTGAAAACCTACTTCATCAACTGTGTGATCTTTTCACGGATGCTGACGGTTGATGAACCGGTCGCCTCGTGGGCCAACAGAAAGCAAGCGGTCAAGTACGCGTAGGACGATTTCGACCAGCGGTTTTCGACAAACAGCAGATTCGCGTATTTTGCCGCCTCTTCCCACTGACCGCTGAATGCGTGGCAAAACATCAGCTCCCAGAAACATGGATGATGAAACGGCCGCCATTCCGACTGATTTTGAATCGACTTGCTGAACATATCGAAAGCCTGTAAGTATCTTCATACATGATATAAAGTCTTAAACACCACTAAACCTAAACAAATGAAAGGAATTACCTGATGAATGTCACCTTTAGCTTCGGCGTACTTTCCAGCAAAAAAGAGACCAAGAGAACTCTAGAAAACAGGAC